GGTAAAATAAACTATGTTTGTTGTCTTTATTTTTCGTGTATTCACTGTATTGTATTGAACAAAATGGTTATGCGGTCCGCGCTCGTCATTCTCTCAGTTATCTGGCCCGCTGTAGAAAAAAAAGTTTGGTGATCCCTGGTCTACAATATCATGACGTGTTACCAGCGTCACGTAACTACCCCTGTTGTAACAATATCCTTTAGGATGGTCTTTTGTACTTGCTCATTATCATACATCTAACCACGATATTCCACGTTTCGTAAGCTCTTAAGTAATGTCTTTTGATGAAGTGGTCTCATTGACATTAATGAAGGATATGAAATTTTTTTCAATAGTTACCCCCATTCCTTTGACATTAAAATTAACAGCAACTGCTCTTGACACCTTACATAAGGAGTCCACCACTGTAAGATAGTATTTCAAACGTTGAAATTTTAGAACAGTTACATTAATGGCTTATTTTAAAACGAACAAACTTGTACAGGTCTTTGTTTTACCGACATAGCTCTTGTTTAGCTGTTTGTATTTTGAGACTATGAGTTTTGATATATTATTATCAGCTTTGTTAATTATTCACAATGCCAAAAAAATATTTTCTGTTATTTTGGTGTCCTTTGCTCTGTACTGGTGTGGTAGTTTGAGTTTTACAGAGATTCTTAGCTTAGTTGGTAGAGCATTCGCCAGGTGTGTAACAAGTTTTGGTAGAGCATTCGCCAGGTGTGTATCTGTACTGGTGTGGTAGTTTGAGTTTTACAGAGATTCTTAGCTTAGTTGGTATAGCATTCGCCAGGTGTGTAACAAGTTTTGGTAGAGCACTCGCCAGGTTTGTAGCAAATTTTGGGTTCAATTCCATTTGCTGAAAAAAAACAACACACAAACACATACACAAAATAATAAATTACCACAAGAAAAACCGGTACAAAACCAATTGATTTTATAGTAAAGCCCAAATACCCTTGTGCGTGAGAAAGGTAGAAAAATTGGTACCAAACTACTGACTTTAAGGTAAGGCCCAAAGACCCTTGTTTGTGAGAAAGGTAGGATGTCGCAGTATTAGTTGTTAAAAAGTGTCTTACTAGCACTGATTGTGCACTGTCTTAGCATGCGCGTAGTGTCGAGTTCAAATATTGCACGCGAGAAACACAAATGCTGAAATGACTACATTGGTCGTTACTTGTCATTTTTAACTGCTGTTTCTACTAATGTAGTCCTTCTACACTGGCAATTTTGTACGTTTTTGTTTTTTTGGTCTTCCACTGAATTGCTTTCTTTCTTTTCTTCTCACCCCATCAGACGTATATTTTCTTAGTTCTTCAATCATTTTGTAAATAAGTATTACGTCAATAATTATTAACGAATCTTAATAATTAATTAGTTTAGTATTTGTTTTATTCCTCCTCGTTAAGATATTTCTTAGTTCGAGTTTTTCCCTCCGTCAGTTCCCGCTCTACTTTGTTTACCTTTATAGCTTTCTGAAATTCTTGCCAGATGTCCCGCGCACGCTTTATGTATAACAGTTCCCCCACCACATAATACTTGTAAGTGTGCTTTCGAGGTGGCTCTCGAACGTGATACCACTTGCTCGACGTGTACAGGCTGCCTGGTTTGTCAGTCGCTGATGCAAAACAAGTTAAATAATAAAGTAAATATTTATGGAATATGTCGTGTATGAAACATACAGGTTTAAAGTTAATATTTCGTTATTTTGTTTGTTTTTCAAATGAATTGAACTAAATTAGTAACTATTTTTGTTGCAGTGAATTGATGCATTAATAATCATATATATCCATTTTATATTATATACACTGTATATTTTAACTGAAACAAAATAGCTCAAAACTTTTGACATGGTAAAAGAAATTAGCTAATGTAAAGACTTTTATTACTTATACCAAATAAAAAAAAATTGTGTTAACTTTATAAGTTTTATTTCAGTACAAATAACTTATATGTATCATCTTCATCTTGAACGTCCACTTAAAACAACTCATGTCTACTGAAACTTAAGTACATAGAGACTGAAGTATAAATTAAATTATCTATCTATTGAACTTAAATCAACAACCAATACACATATATACTCTTTTCGTTATGACGTAGGAAAAAAAATACTAAAGTAAACCAGCTCTAAATTTGGAAAAAAAAAAAAAAGGAAATCTCAAAATCATATGTGACGAGTGACCTAAAAGTAAAAAGTTTCTGTAAAATGTTTGATGTTTGGTTGATTTGGCAAGCATTTAAAAATAATTTTTAAATGCACAATTGCCAAATCAATTCATTCTCATTTAGCGCAAAAAAAAGAAGCAGAGGAGAGGCAAACTTGTGTTCCACACATAAACACACGTTATGTTCTTGTTTTTTTTATCGTAAAATAACACAATAAGTTATTTGCAATTTGTCCACCACGAGAAATCGAACGTCAGACTTTAGTGTTGTAAGTCAGTAAACTTACTGCTAAGCAACTGGGGGATAGCAGTAATTACTGTGATAACAGTAATTGTTTGACATTATGGGATGAAATTATGTAGTCAAAGTCACGAGAACATTTATTTTTCTAGTTGTCTGTAAACTGTGACGAAAGACTGTTTAATAGCCTGAAAACATATGATTTAACACATTTTTGTCGTAGTTTTCAACTCAATAAATGTGTTACGTTGTTAATCCGTACACAATTTTAATTAATTGCAGAAATGGAGGTGTTACCGTGAAATAACACGTCTTAACTACAGTGATCACTAGGTAACCACGTTTCTTTTTTTTAGAGTTTTCCATATCTTTATTACTTTAGATTTCAATAATTTATCTTTAAACTTCAAGACTGTTTTATCTTCTACTCCGCTCTTATAAGAAGCTTCAGAACAGATACTAGAGCGGTAATGATGCAGCAAACATTCACTAGGTGGCACTACGAACGGCTGCCAATTATCAAAATGTTGCCAAACAAAATGAATACCACCTGTGACAACTCTATTTGGTTGAACTATGGACTTGGACCTGAAGTAGGCCCTCGACACGTACTTCACACGTGTCAAATATCTCAGTGTTGTGAATGGCAAATTGGGTTTCGAATGTTTAAGGTCTACTGGGTGTTTCGTACAAAAAAACGAATTACGAAATACTAGACTGCCCCAGGTGTTGTTCTTTAGGGATTTTATCATTTCCAGAAGCGTTCGATGATTTCGGGGAACGATATACTCATCAATGTCGACTAAAGCCACATATTTACTAACAAACATGTGTCTATAAATACAATCTTGAGTGCTAGCCATTTGACCAAATGCCCAAGTTTTCTGGGCCACAGATTTGGGCAAGTTCCAAAGAATAAGTTCAACAGGCAATCCTTGGTCCTGTAGAGAAGATACAAACTCCTTCACCTGCTTTGATGTTTTATAATTATAGAATGTAAAGTGACTGACACCCAAAATTTGGTATAATGCAACAAATTCAGCTAAAGCAAAAGTATTTTTAAAGGGTCCAAAGAAAGGACGGACACACACTGCGAGTTTATCTTGAATTTTGGTGGAGTTTTGGGTTTCTCCTTGATGAATTGGAAGTTTTACAAGTTCCAGTGGGATTGGAGCTTGGCGAAGAACCACCTCTCGGGGGGTAGGTTCCCCTGACGATAAGTGACAGAATAAGTACATAGCGGAGTAATTTTTAGAATGGTTATCTCGAATCATTTCGTAAGTGATCGGTAACTCGATGAAACTTTTGGAGTTTTGGCTGTAAATGCTACAGCTAACGTTTTCATGCTCATCTCCAAGCCGGGGTCCAATAGCTATGATTCGAATAAAGCTCTTCAGAGGTTTATTCCTGTCATCCCAAAACGCTGAATAAACATATATGTTATTGGTTACTTGCTTCCAGTTGTCCTTCCATGCTGAAGAAGTGGAAACAGTCTCATTGTTGTCAAAGTTAGTTGTTTTAATCCACGTTTCCATTGTGATATTTCTTGATTTCCATAATTTCGTCTCATAGGGAAAATATAACATGACGACAGTGAGCACTAAAGAGCCCCAACCCAACAGGATAAAGAATGTTTTCGGTTTTTGAACCCCCCAAACCATCTTCTTCTGTTGGAATCTCAAGCGAACATAACGTAGACAAAATCTAGATTTAAAAAAAAGGGCCCTATGTAATAATTTTTGTAATAAAATATATTTTACGTCTTAAATGTCTGCGAAAAAAAAATTGTAATGACTTATGGCGAATACTTGCAAATAGCAAACAGCATCACACATCTAAACCAAAATGCATTTGTTTTTTGTTTTTTTTTTTGGCAAGTTTGCATTATCTATCAATAAAACCGGAACATTCCTATTTAGAAAGAGAAACTGAAAGCTATTTGTGAAATTTTCGAATTATTTAAACATCTTACTCTTTCTTTATATTTTCAAGTTTCAGAATAACATGCTTTTCGTTTCAAAATACGTTCATAACATTGTTCAATAACAATAATATTCATATGGTATTAACAATATCATGGTAATAATTACTCCGAGTGAACTGAACTCCTCAAAAATCATTGTCAATGAACGGAACTATTTTCTTTATTGATGACGTAGGTAGACATCGAATTTTGTAGAATCTTTAATATAAATGTTAATGCTGTGTACTGCTGCTGAGAACAAAACGTTCATTTACTACAAGATATAATAAATATGATAAATAAACAAAACACATAAACAGTTATTTAGTTTATTCACGACTAACCTATTTGCTAGGATTGAGTTATTTTATCCTTGCGCACCTATACTCTCAAAAAACAAACAAACAAATCTTACGTTAAAAGAATAATGAACCCTATAGTGGTAAACCAGAAAATACATATTACCTTATTAAACAGTTATATCAAATCTGTAGCTGTTGTCAAAACGAACATTTTACACCTCCGGGGGTACAAATTTGTTTTCAGTCCCACGAGGCTATTTAATCCGGAAAAAACGATAGTTACCTAAACTAATTTTGCATTGATTCTCTCATAACGTAACGGAGCTAAATCCGTTTTCCAGACGTGCTTTCAAATATCATCACTAATATTATTGATGCATGTTTGTTTGAAGTTAAGCACAAAGCTACAGAATGGGCTATCTGTTCTCTGCCCACCACGGGTATCGAAACCCGGTTTCTAGCGTTGTAAGTCCGCAGACATACTGCTGTGCTACTGGGGGGGGGCATTCTTGATGCAAATGAAAACATTGCACCAAAGGCATGTTGTGTAGTGGTCCTGGAAAGATGATAAAGGAGGCAAACCCTATCGAAGAGTTCCCTGGTGAGAAGCAAATAAAAATCAAGATCAGCCAAATCAAACAGAACAAGAAGAAGCAGCTGGAGGAGGAGTCCAAGGAAGTGTTTCTTTATGAATTCTGGACTTGTCAACATAAGTATCATCCCAAAAAAAGAACAAAATCTTAAAAGAATTGTCATTTATTTGGAAAAGGCAAAAGAACAAGAAAACAAAGAGAAAAATGGCCCTGAAAATGCCTCGAAAAATGTAGCCGAAACTGCAATTTTGAAACGATCATAAAATTTCGAGTATTTATGCCTAAAAAATAAAAACGCCCTTGAAAATATTTTCGCTGTTCTATTTTAGTACTAAATGCCCTATTTCAGTGTTCAAATTCCGCAGTAAACGTTTCGCAGAAATCGGCAGTATATCAGGATAGGTTACCACCCCGAGGTATACATTAGGGGTTAAAAACATAACAATAAAATCAAAAAAAGATATAACTATATATTTAACCTACTTATTAGTAAAGCCAATAATAATAAAAAAAAACAATACTTAACCTGCGGGAGTTCGACTCGTAGTCTGCGGGTCGCGGGTTCGAATCTCCGTCCCACCAAACATGCTCGCCCTTTCAGCCGTGGGGGCGTTATAATGTGACGGTCAAGCCCACTATTCGTTGGTAAAAGAGTAGCCCAAGAGTTGGCGGTGGGTGGTGATGACTAGCTGCCTTCCCTCTAGTCTTACACTGCTAAATTAGGGACGGCTAGCGCAGATAGCCCTGGTGTAGCTTTGCGCGAAATTCAAAACAAACTCAACCTGCTTATCATTAAAGCCAACGATATAACACAACACGATACATAAAAATGCTTAAGAACAATATAAACACAACAGCGTACCTAACCTGCTTATCCTTAAAACTTCCCGTCACCGAACTTGTTTGCCCTTTCAGCCGTGGGGGGTATCGTAATGTGACGGCCCATCCCATTATTCGTTGGTAAAAGAGCACCCCCAAAGTTAGCGGTGGGTAGTTACCTTCTCTCTAGTCTTACACTGCTAAATTAGGGACGAACAAACAGAAGAATTCCTGTTCCCCAGTGGCACAGCAGTATGTCTGCGGACTTACAATGCTAGAAACCGGGTTTCGATACCCGTGGTAGGCAGAGCACAGATAACCCATTGTGTAGCTTTGTGCTTAGCAACAAACAAACCGAAACACCCAGATTTACAAACTATATACATGTACAAGATAAAAGTTTTGTATCGCTATAACTACGACGCGCGTGATCAAACACACAGAAGCAGACGTGACTTGAGTTTGTTTGTTTGTTTGGAATTAAGCACAAAGCTACACAATGGGCTATCTGTGCTCTGCCTACCACGGGTATCGAAACCCGGTTTCTAGCGCTGTAAGTCCGCAGACATACTGCTGTGTCACTGGGGGGGGGGGGCAATGTGACTTGAGAGAATCAGGAATTTTGAATACATATGCAGGATAACAGGAAAGTCTTTCTTAAAATGAATTGTTAAATGTTCTCCACGCCGAACACATATTTTAAATGGTGCAGATAACGGTGATCAAGAATAAGAAAACAACAAAATATTGATGATATATTAATTACAATGTATATAACCAGATGGCAGTTATTGTCCATAAAGTTTATAATATAGGGATATGAGCATGAAAAAACCCAGAGGTCTCTCCGATGGGATCATGGGACAGCAATAAGTCTACGAATTTTCAACGCCAAAATCCGGGGTTCGATTCCCCGCGGTGGAAACGGCAAATAGTCCAATGTAACTTTTCTCCAAAACAAACAAAAAGGACCCAACGTTTAGGCAGCTGACCCTGAATATAAAAAGTGGGTAAAACTGGTATTGCATATGAAATATAAATAAAAAACACTTAAGAGGCTCCAGACTACCCGTACGCTTATATTATCTGTATTCATTCTTCATAGCGTAACAGAGCTTTTAGATAAGCCTAGAAATAAATATGACAATCTGGGGTAACTTAATTCGATAAAGCCATACTTTCCCTGGTTATTTGTGCAAAATATTTTACGCCTGCCTGTTTGTTGGTTTGTTTTTAAACGCCAAGCTGCACAGTGAGCTACCTACCTATCAGAACACTCAGTCTCAAGAACTGACTAAAACTCGGTCTATATGTAGTATACATAAGTGGTGCCCCCCAGTAGCACAGCGGTATGTCTGCGGACTTACAACGCTAGAATCCGGGTTTCGATACCCGTGGTAGGCAGAGCACAAATAGCCCAATGTGTAGCTTTGTGCTTATCTTCAAAAACAAAACAAAACATAAGTGGTTGTTTGATGTTAAACGAAAAACTAAACTTCGTACTCTTATCACCACAGGAATCGATCCAGGAATTTTAGCGTCATGAGCCCTCGCGATCACCGCTGAGAAAAGGGCGAGGGGGAAATTTACACTAATTAAAGGTCACTACATTTAAATAAATATTTTACAAAGCGTTGTATCTGCTTACAACTGGCGAACTACCGGACCGATTATCACCAAACTTACCATATACCCTGGGGAGTGAGAACAGGGTATCGGCATATACATATATACATACATATACGTAAAGTGATTGTGATTTATACACTGTTTGATAAGTGAGATATAGAATTAAAAATACAGTCCCTAAAATAACGTGTTATTTTTTTATTATCCACAGGTAACGGCGTAGATTATCAGAGCCCTCTCACGTTTTAACTGTACATTTGTATATGCTAAACACAGGATCAGGAAACGTTTCTGTAACACTAACAAATACGTGAATAACAAACGCTGCTTTAAATCTGTTGCATGATGTTAACTTCGAACGTTCTATGTTTGATAATCCTTGTGATATCAAACATTCTGTTCATTAAAGTTTAAAATCACCACAAGAAGAGCGTCCTAGCCCGAAACGTTTTGAATATTAAAGCATCTATTTCGCATTAGCCACTTTTCATGGTATAAGTTTTCTTTCTTCCATTTTTTGTTTTCGATTTCATCATACCAGTGTTTTTTTAGCTAACAAATATTTTAATTTATTTTAGTCCCGTCTGCGGTGCCCCCCAGCGACACAGCAGTATGCCTGCGGACTTACAACGCTAAAGACCGTGTTTCGATACCCGTGGTGGGCAGAGCACAGATAGCCCATTGTGTAGCTTTGTGCTTAACTACAAACAAACAAACAAAACCTATCTGTGGCAAGTTGCTTTCAACTATATTCTAAATTTATCTAAACGTTTTTAACAATCTCAAAGATTCCCTAATTTTGAGATATCTTGCCCATATGCTGTCTCTCTTTTATAATAATAGACTATTATTAGAGACATAAAATTTAAAATAAACGCAACTACCCGTGTTGAAACCTGTGGTCACGTGATGATTGCGTAGATTTCATTTTATTAAGTAATTAATATTCATAAATTCATTTGTTTAATACTAGATATTGTATAAACAAATATCATAACATAAAATATTTAAAGTATTGTTGGTCTCTTGAAGTATATTTTTGAAAAAATACATACATTACTTACATATGTCCTGGTTTCAGACTTCACAGTTTTTGTAGTTGCCAACAATGGATGTCTAGATAGCTGGTGCTTAAAATAAGAAATACCTTCCCTCGTATTTATGACTGCAGTATTAGGAACACCATATATCTGACTATTCAAATCAACCAGAAACAGCAAAGAGTGATTTATTTTCGTAAAATGATAACTGTACGTGTTTCTGCTAAGGTGTATAGCCATGTTAGATAAAGAAGGTGTGAACAACAAGAGACGATTCATACCCATTGGTTAAAGCTGTTTCTCTCGTGCGTGTGCGGTATTAGTATAACTTAAATAAACTTTAATTGTTGTCTGGTTCAAAGTCTCATTCGGTTCGACCAAATTAAAATTTGTAATAATTACAGTAACACAATTTACAATTATAATTTTCAACAAAAAAATATCCTTCCGTGGCATAATTAGTTATTACACAGGTGTCCATAAATTATCTGACTCATTTTAAAAATTAATAACTTCAAAAATATTATAGATAGAACAAACCGGATTAACTTATCCTGACTAACAACTCATTAAGTCCTCCCAACTTCCTGTTGCAGGTCCATTGTAAGAGCATTGCTAGAAAATAGTTCCTGAATTACACAATCACAGACAGATGGATTGGTAAAGATGTACCAGCACGGTGGCCCCACGTTCCTCTGACATAACCCCGTTGGATTTCTTCTTTTGGAGGGTTATAAAAGATCACGTATATTCGACACCTGTGCGTGATGTCGTGGAATTTCACCACAGAATAATCAATGCAACGAGGAACGTGACTCCCCACATGATGAACGACACCTGGAGGGAGATTAGAGTATCACCCAGTCAATCTTCGAGCAACAAACTGTGCACATTTGGAAGTATACAAGACAAGAAAAACTTTACGAATTTTCCCGTCATCTTAAACATAACCGAAACGTTCTATCTATAATATTTTTGAAGTTATCAATTTTTAAAATGGATCAGATAATTCATGGATCCCCTGTACATATATCTTTATATCTTTGCATGATGTTAAACATCGTGGTTCTGTATATTACAACAAAGTCTTCTGCAGCTAGCAAAACACATTGTTGGATGTGTCAAGAGGAGAACTACAAAAGGAGACAAAGTAGAAGTACCTTCATGTACTAAAATACTGATTCTGTACAACAATATCGGTAAATCACAGGGATCAGGTATACTTTAAGGACTGACATGGTGCAACAATATAGGTAAATGACAGGGATCAGATGTACTTTAAGAACTGACATGATACAAAAAATATAGATAAATGACAGAGATCAGTTATACTTTAAGGACTGACATGGTACATCAATATAGGTAAATGACAGGGATCAGGTGTACTTTAAGGACTGACAAGGTACAACAATATAGGTAAATGACAGGGATAAGGTATACTTTAAGGACTGACATGGTACAACAATATAGGTATCAATCATTAATTCTGAACTGTTAGACTAGAGGGAAGGCAGCTAGTTAACACCACCCACCTCTTGGGATTGTTTGTCTTATTACTGAATGGAATTTGACCGTCACTCTTGTAATGCGTGCACGGTCCCAATATTCGAAGCACGACTTTTTGACAACGGGCGGCGAACCGTGAACCCTCATATTCAGAATCCGAGCACGCTTACCACTTAGCTTATCTCAGTTCGCTATAATTATATACAATGGACATTAATTATAAAAATGTCTTAACATCGCGGGATATCTATATATCATTCATTATGAATATTTGAGAATGTTTTGTGAATTGGAGATCAAAATATAGTGTCACAAATGCATTACTAATTCGAATACTAATAACAATATGTTTCATGTCAGAAAGGCTTAACAATCCTAAACATATAAAAGTTTGGTATAAAACATAGATTAGTGAGAGAAAAAAAAGATATAGATGATCCATAATCATTTAGTTTAATTATTGTGTTTGTGTTTAAAAAGATTTGATATCAAAGCCGAGTTATTTAAATATTACTGCATTTTCAGCTAGGTAAGTGATCTACAAATGTAAACATCTTAAAACACTGTACAACTAATATGGTGATCGACAAATGTTACATTAATCTGGTGATATACAAATGTAAACATCCAATTATTAGTGAAGCCCTGTTGGAACGTGCTGCACAATGAAAAGATACCCTGTTTTAATTACTTGAGATGTATTTTATAGATGAAATTTCCATAAACTTTCAAGTCTTTAAACATTTCAAATCATGATACGTTTAAATTGTTCGAGTTTTATCCACTCCGAGAAAGCTACAAAATCTTTCCCCAGAAATATGGCACAAATTCGTCCAATATATATCATCATGCAAAAATCAGGTCATCACAGTGTCTATTTGTTTACTTGATCAGACCACAACAATTAGGCCATCACAGTTTCCATTTGTCAACTTGATCAGACCACAATTAGACCATCACAGTGTCCATTTGTCCACTTCATCAGACCACAACATTAGGCCATCACAGTTTCCATTTGTCCACTTGATCAAACCACAATTAGACCATCACAGTGTCCATTTGTCCACTTCATCAGACCACAAACATTAGGCCATCACAGTTTCCATTTGTCAACTTGATCAGACCACAATTAGGCCATCACAATGTCCATTTGTCCACTTGATCAGACCACAACCATTAGGCCATCACAGTGTCCATTTGTCCACTTGATCAGACAACTACCATTAGGCCATCACAGTTTCCATTTGTCCACTTGATCAGACCACAATTAGGCTATCACAGTGTCCATTTGTCCACTTGATCAGACAACTACCATTAGGCCATCACAGTTTCCATATTGATCATACCACAATGTTGAATTACTTAAATGAGTTACACTATCACGTGCTAAACTCGGAACAAAGTTATTTACATTATTTAAACAATATGCGTTTAGAATGATAATTACTTGGGTTAAATGATAATTCTACCCAACCGAATATATTAAAAAAAATTGTTCTAATTAGTCTTAGTTATAACGTCAAGTCAACAAAAATTAAGTTATAAACCTGTCCACTTAGGTTAGAAACAGATATGCAATTCGGTCCTTTTATCTGGCTTTACTGATCTCGACAATGGTGTGAAGTAAATATCTGGATCAAATTCTGTCTGAAAAGAGGACAATAAAAATATTTACAGGTGTAAAATTAATAAGAATCTTAAAAACAACAACTAAACTATTGCCTTTCTATGCATTTCCTTTTGTTTGTGTATTAGACATAAAAACAACTTTCTATTTTATTTTAATAAATCTTACGAACTCTTACTTGGTGCTCAAAGGTCATCTATCACGCCATCTGTATTTATATATTATATACATTTAGGGAGATTATTTAGTACCAATAAGCAAACTACCCTTACAGCAGCCAGTGCGTCTGTCTACCTATAAATAAAGAACAATTATAAACACTCGAGAAAGGTTAGAAAAATTTACAAAGTCTTACTAGGTTCCTATTTTGTTAAGAATAAAATTTTGTGTTCATATACGAAAGAAAAGTTATTCGTGTATTTTCACAAAAACGAAGCATTTTATGTATTGATCGCCATGCTCTTTCAAGTTCCTGAAATAATATATCGTTCTTCATTTCTCTCAGACTTCAACGAACTGAACTCGGACAAATGAGAATACTTTGTAGTTCAAGAAGATGAATTTTGCCAAGAATGATGAAAGAAAATATAGAATTATTTTCCCGCTCATATTTGAACTGCACAAAAGTAAGTTTAATTGAGCTTACCAGTAGGGGGAGCCAGTATCGAGTTTCAAAACTATTTATGTTTTGTTTGTTTTTTTTAATTTCGCGCAAAGCTACACGAGGGCTATCTGCGCTAGCCGTCCCGAATTTAGCAGTGTAAGACTAGAGGGAAGGCAGCTAGTCATCACCACCCACCGCCAACTCTTGGGCTACTCTTTTACCAACGAATAGTGGGATTGACCGGCACATTATAACGCCCCCACGGCTGAAAGGGCGAGCATGTTTGGTGGTATGCGGATTCGAACCCGCGACCCTCAGATTGTGAGTCGAGCGCCTTATCCACCTGGCCAACTATTTATGTATCAAACTGATTATGGGTCTATGAAAATAAGTGATTTCACTAAATTATTTTTAGTTTTTTTACACTGACTGTTGTACCAAACAAAAAATGTAAAACTATCCAGTAGGGTGCAGTAATTGTAGACTCGACCAGTATTGATCGCTATAAAAACAACTCAATAATTTAAGGATTAAATAATTAATGTAATATTTTCAAAGATTAAAAAGGCCCTAAATATGGCCACCTCAAAGATGTACGCCAAATAAGAAAATATGTTCATCTAAGCTTCTTTGTTATACTGTAGACATAAAAGTAATAAAAAACATCAACATAACCGAAACGCTTGAGAAGATTATTCATATAAGTGGTCGGATTAATAAGTTTATACTATCAGTTAGTTAGTTTTTAGTGTTTCTGATCCTGTCAAGTCTTTCAGTTCTTTGTCTAGGATCTTCCAAGCCATAGCGGCACACGTGAGGAATATATCTACTGGGACTGTCTGCACACTTTATTAATGTGCTTATTAAGGCTACAAGAACACTTTAGAGATGTGTCTATAGGGACTGTCTGCACACTTTATGAGTGTGTTTACTGGGGCTATATGAGCACTTTAGAAATGTGTCTACAGGGACTGTCTGTACACTTTATGAATGTGTCTACAGGAACTGTCTGCACACTTTATGAGTGTGTTTACTGGGCTATACGAGCACTTTAGGAATGTGTCTACAGGAACTGTCTGCACACTTTATGAGTGTGTTTACTGGGACTGTCTGCACACTTTATTAGTGTGTTTACTGTGGCTATATGAGCACTTTAGGAATGTGTCTACAGGGACTGTCTACACACTTTAAGAGTTTGTTTACTGGGGCTATATAAGCACTTTAGGAATGTGTCTACAGGAATTGCCTGCGCACTTTATGAATGTGTCTACAGGGACTGCCTTAAAGACTCCTATAAGAAGCTAGTGTATCATATTATTTCGCTTACTTGTAGATTCGATACCTTTCATTATTCCATTTTACGGATTTAGAAACAATATTTTTTTATTCTTATATACTGGTTTGATGCTTATTGTACAAAACAGTTACATAATATGATGATTGCAACTATACACAGTAAACTCTAACAGATATAACTTACCGTTTTTGTTTCATTCATCTTCCCAACATACTTTCTCTAATCTTCGAGGACTGTAAGTGTTGTGGGTTTTGTTTGTTTTTTTTTGCTCTTCGTATCCAACTCTGAATTAATTGATTGGTCATTACAAATTTGTTCAAGTGGACTTTTTTCTAGCTGGTCTGCAGGAGCGAAAGGAATTCCGAGACTAGTTTCCTGGCTATGAAGAGAATACAATAGGGAAACTGGTTCTTTAGAACTCTTGGCGCTTCTAATGTCTGCTCCAGTACGATCAACCATTTGAAGTATGGGGTCTTCCTTTCCAACAGGATTTGTGTGAGACTGACTGTTGGCTGGATGGACATAGTCCGTGTAAGTGGTAATCTTTTGGACTGGAGGATGGTCCTCAGTGGCCGTAATGACTGAGAGATGGTCACGGTACTGCTTTCTATAAAATCAAAAATATGTAAATATTTATGATAATTAGATTATATGTCAACTGGATTCTAACTGGTGGTTAGTATCAGATTATGCAGAATTAGCAATGTGAGCTGTATAAGTAATCTTCAAGGAGAATGAGATGGGAGGGGCATGTTGCCAGAATAGAAAACAAGAGACTGTCCAAGATTGCTATGGTTGGAAGATTACGAGATAGAGGACCATTGATGGGAGAACAGAAGACAAGAGACTACCCAAGATTGCTATGTTTGGAAGATTACGAGATAGAGGACCATTGATGGGAGAATAGAAGACAAGAGACTGCCCAAGATTGCTATGTTTGGAAGATTACGAGATAGAGGACCATTGATGGGAGAACAGAAGACAAGAGACTACCCAAGATTGCTATGTTTGGAAGATTACGAGATAGAGGACCATTGATGGGAGAACAGAAGACAAGAGACTACCCAAGATTGCTATGTTTGGAAGATTACGAGATAGAGGACCATTAAGAAGAACGAGTAAATGATGGCGAGATACAATTGAAGAGGATGCCTTTGATGTTGGTATAAAAGCTGAAGAATTGTCAGAGGTTGCACAGGACCGTGAGAGATGGACAGACTTTGGGGTCGACAGAGCTGGGTGCTAGAGGAATGAGTGGTCAGTACGAGTGAACCATACAACGAATAATGAGTGAAGATTCAAGAAACAAATATAAAAAAATATATATACAATGAAGAAAAAATGTAGACCTCATCTTTTAGATCAGTGGTTTCCAAACTTTTTGCGGCACAAATAAGTCCGTATGGCAACCCCCTGACTAAGACAGGCAGAAATTACTGCTACACTGTGTATCTAGGAGAAAATACATCAAATTTGAAATTTTACAAAATTTATTAAATTGATAATAAATTGACACTACTAAATACAAATTACTTAATAATTGCCAAAATTGCGTGGCACACATTTTGTGAAGCACTTTTTTGATATCACACATTAATGGATGTATCACAGTGCTATCCTATATTTCCTAGCTTCTATTGCCCAAGCGCACCATTGTGTATATTAGTAAAACATGGTGCTCAAACCTAAAACAACGTTGTAGGGAACGGATATTTATATTACATTACACGTACCTTTTTAGTATATAGATGGTTAGAATGGCGACCGCCAGAAGGAGTATCCCGAAGAGCACCCCAAAGACAACCATTAGCACGAGGAAACCCTCCTTACTGTCAGACTGTAGCTCATTCTCTAACAGATCCATAGGGAAGTGAATGGTCACGGGGACACTGGCTTGCCGGGGGGGATCTCCACTGTCTATCGCAACCACAAATACATGACATACACTGGTATTAAGTAATGCCAAGTTATCAATTCTTATTTCCCCCTCACTCGACACTTTAAACAACCTGGAGTAAGAAAATAAACAACAACAACAATTACAAATGAGTTTTATTGTAGTTATTTTAGTTTGTAAACTAAACACCGTGAGAACAATCAATAATATTGTATGTTTTTTAAAACTATCGTTTGACTTATCTTGTGTTATTGGTTCTAACCATCATATGTTACGTTTTGGCTTCGTTACTGTATAAGTTTGATAACAAAATAGTATGCATGTAGCTGAAGCTATTACAACACCTACTCGTATTAATACTTACGGTGAGGCTGTAGAGGTTTGATTTCTGAAGTTCGCGCAAAGCTACATGAGAGCTATCTGCACTAGCCGTCCCTAATATAGCAGTGAAAGACTAGAGGAAAGGCATCACCACCCACCGCCAACTTTTGGGCTACTCTTTTACCAACGAATAGGGGACTGACCGTCACAATATAACGCTCCCACGGATAAAAGAGCAAGCATGTTTGGTAGGACGGGGATTCGAACCCGAGACCCTCAGATTGCGAGTCAAGCGCCCCCTAACCACCTAGCCCAAGGTTGTAGTGATGATCATCAGTACGATCACTCATGTCTTATCATTAATTAATAACAACGTTTATAATTATTACTAAGATTTGTTCATCTTTCTTCTTCTTGTTGTTTCAGTCGAGATAACTCTACAACTACTTTATCACTAACGTCAGTTTAAACCTTAATCCACTCTATATGTTTCTGGGCAGTGCACGATGTCATCGCTTTTTCGTAGTAACTAGTAGTAATTAAAACAAATCATAATTATAGTGTAAACGATGTTATCACTATAAGATAACTTTCTTACACAAATCTGGTGTTCCTTCGAAAAGCTTAAGTACATGGTGAAACAGGATTTACCAACCAATAATGAATGAACATTAGATGACTGTAACATGTAAAATACTCAATGCTTTGTACACTATACAATCGTTGTCTTTAGGGAGCTAACCCCTATATTACGTATGAAGTGAAGGAGTAAAAATAATGAATACACATAATATTAAAATATATTACACACATTCACAGAATACACTAACTTTCAACCAGGGAAAAAAAAACATCATAAAACAAATGATAAAAAACATTTTGTAAATGTAAAATGATGGAGGGATGGCAGTGCCAAAAAGATTGGAAACATGAATAAAGCTATACATTTTTATATGTTCTTTCCTTATTGTAGGTTCCTTAACAAGAAGTCAAGATTATGACTAGTGATCAACATTAAGTCCCAATAAGTCAAGATTATGACCAGTGATGATTAATAATCTATTGTATAATATAATATCAGTATCTGAGGTCATTCTACAAGTGCAATGAAGAAACTGATAAAACTGATGTGATATTAATAATATATATATATTACCATTGAATTACAAAAATAAAACAAATGTTCCCTTATCAGCCCACTTCAATGAAATTGTTTTTATAAAAAAAAAGAGGCGAAACAAGTAATAGAAAACAAATCGCAAAACTTAGATATGATTTGGGATGACAATACCAAAAAAGTAAAGAAACAAGGTAGGGATGAATACACAAAACCATAGAAAAATCGCTATATAAACAGCCAAATCTTTACATATAGGGATGATCTATGTATAGCTGTATCATCCTTATATTCTTGTTTGAATATTTTTGGCATTGCCATCCCTCCATCATTTTACGTTTACAAAATGTTTTTATTACATTTATAACTATAGGCTGTTCTATCCAGAGATGCAATAAATTACCAGGATTATCTCACATGTGTTGATGAAACAATCGTGAACCACTCCCTTCCCCCGACACACAAGATTCCAGAGTCAATATTTATCGACCGTGTCTGTACAAGTATTCCCTTTTAATCCACACATTCGAACAGCATGTAAGTGATTTATCAGAACATAAGTTTCCATAAGAATGTACTAAGATTCGAGGACACATTCGTATCTTTGTATTATCAGTTAACGGTACTGCAAGATAAGATCAAACTCCTATTAAAGCTCCGTTACCGACCTAAATATTGCTGAAACTTCAGCACACATTATTCTCTCATAAGTTATTGCTGTGCAAACGTATAATTAGTAACTACATATACGAGTATAAGAATAACCGCATTATTCAAGATGCCCGTTCCAAATCACTTGCGTTAATCATACAGTTATACCAACTATGATGTTACTAATATTTCGTCAGCAGTTATTACTACGTTGTTTCAGTAATTACTTATTACTAGCAGAGACTCGCAAAACAACTGCGATTAAATCAGTATCTTTATTGTAACAGTACTTCTGCAAACACAGAAATCTGTAAGTCTACTTGTCTTAGGCCTAACATTAGTCAAGCCTTTATCAAGTACGGCCTACATTTGATAAAGAGATAAGTCAACATTGTAACTTTAGTTTAGTTAGGGTCTAAATAAACATTACTGTACTTAATACTGTCAATAAATAAACTTATTATGGTATTCTACGACCTAACGTTAGACCTTTTAAAAAACTCCGATAAGCTCTTAATTTGTTGTTGTACAAGATATCTACTAAAGTGTATTTACAATTGCCTTTTATTTACATCCGTTAAAATGAAGTGTGCGCGCATGCGCATTTAGGTAGTAAGGCACGAGCGTATTTTCGGGACAGACAAAAACTGAGTATTATTATAATAGATGATAAGTTGTAACACGTGGACATCTACGCTACTGATAAATGTTCATCGTCACTAATGCGTCAAAACATCATTTGAAAATGGAAGATCTTGCAAATGCTGTTTGTCAGCGAGAGTATTTCAAGACAAATATGTCTTATTCCCAGTAAATACAGGACTTTTGTTCTCCGGTGAGACAGCGGTAAGTTTATGGGGTTCGATTCCCCGCAATTGACACAGCAGATAGCCCAAAGTGGCTTTGCTCTAAAGCAAACAATAGAGAAACTTTCGCAAGAAACCTCTTTCCAAAAGCAGTTCTAATGATTTTATAAGAGATATTAGGTTCCAGGTTGCACAGTCCAAGCGCACACATCTTGTTCCTACACATGTTCAAGTTCTGTCTACTACTGGTGTTTTCGCCATTGGTAACTTCCACAGGCAGATTGAAGACATCGCTGGCATTCGAAAAGCTTTTCTTTTTTTTTCTTTTCCCCTATCCTCGTACGGCCAATTCCCCTACAGGGAAGAGCAGCAGAATGGAGTAAAAAATATTTTTCATTCAGTTGCTGGGTTTTCTAAAACGATGTGTACTAAAGACTGTACTCGTGTAGCAATTAAAGCACCAAAAGTGAAGGAATTTACTTTCATGAACACTAAACAGTAACATTCAACCAATGAGAAAGTCATATTTGATGCTCGTCACTTGTATAAATAGCCAGGTGTAACTCAAGATTCATTTGTATAAATAGTCAGGTATAACTCATGATTCACTTTTATAAACAGTCAGGTGTAACTCACGATTCATTTGTATAAATAGTCAGGTGTAACTCACGATTCATTTGTATAAATAGTCAGGTGTAACTCACGATTCATTTGTATAAATAGCCAGATGTAACTCACGATCCATTTGTATAAATAGTCAGGTGTAACTCATGATTCACTTTTATAAATAGTCAGGTGTAACTCAAGATCCATTTGTATAAATAGCCAGATGTAACTCACGATCCATTTGTATAAATAGTCAGGTGTAACTCATGATTCACTTTTATAAATAGTCAGGTATAACTCACGATTCATTTGTATAAATAGTCAGGTGTAATTCACGATCCATTTGTATAAATAGCCAGGTGTAACTCACGATCCCTTTGTATAAATAGTCAGGTGTAACTCAAGATCCATTTGTATAAATAGTCAGATGTAACTCACGATTCATTTGTATAAATAACCAGGCATAACTCACGATTCATTTGTATCAATAGTCAGGTGTAATTCACGATCTATTTGTATAGATAGCCAGATGTAACTCACGATCCATTTGTATAAATAGCCAGGTGTAACTCACAATTCATTTTTATAAATAGTCAGGTGTAACTCACGATTCGTTTTTATAAATAGCCAGGTGTAATTCACGATCTATTTGTATAAATAGCCAGGTGTAACTCACAATTCATTTTTATAAATAGTCAGGTGTAACTCACGATTCGTTTTTATAAATAGCCAGGTGTAATTCACGATCTATTTGTATAAATAGCCAGGTTTAACTCACGATTCATTTGTATAAATAGCCAGGTTTAACTCACGATCCATTTGTATAAATAGCCAGACGTAACTCACGATCCATTTGTATAAATAGCCAGGTGTAACTCACAATTCATTTGTATAAATAGCCAAGTGTAATTCACGATTAATTTATTCTTCAAAACAGCAGTGTGAGCACTCGCCCAAAACGGAGCAGTAACGGGACACTCACACATACTCCCCTGCACCTCGGCTGTAAATCAAACCACTCCTACAAGCAACATAGGCTGTCTAGTTTACAGGACACTCACATATAATCCCCTGCACCTCGGCTGTAAATCAAACCACTCCAACAAGCAACATAGGCTGTCTAGTTTACAGGACACTCACATATAATCCCCTGCACCTCGGCTGTAAATCAAACCACTCCAACAAGCAACATAGGCTGTCTAGTTTACAGGACACTCACGCATAATCCCCTGCACCTCAGCTGTAAATCAAACCCCTCCAACAAGCAATATAGGCTGTCTAAATTACAGGATGGCCACAATTTGTAACTTCGGGGGGAAACCAGTCGTCCTTGTTAATGGACACCCTGAACACTTGATGTAGAAGAAAATAAAGAAAATAAACTCCAAGAATAATGAAGAAGAAGAAAGTTACAGATACTCAGCTATATTCTCTGGCTCCAAAGGTCTCTATGAAAACGTACAGTGGATATGTAAACAGCAAAAAGTCAGAACAGTATTCAGAAACCACAGTTACAACGATCGCATTCAGTAATATTAAAAGCATCACAAATTAAAAAAATTTAGAATGACTGGTATGACGGGAGATTTAGAAAAGTAGAGAAGATCAAGAAATCTTGTCAAAAAGGAAATTAGGACATCAAAAAGAATGTATGAAACAAGTTTGGTTGAAAATGTAAAAATTAACAGTAAGTATTTCTTTAAAGACATTACGGGTTAACAAAATGTTATGATGGGGTGGGACCTTTGAGGGATGATGAAGAAAGGCTTGTATCTGATTATTACAAGATGTCTGGGTTATTAAATTGTGTTTTTCTTCAGTTTTTACTGCCCCCCCCCCAGTGGCACAGCGGTATGTCTGCGGATTTAAAACGCTAGAATCCTGGTATCGATACCCGTGGTGGGCAGAGCACAGATAGCCCATTGTGTAGCTTTGTGCTTAATTACAAATAAACAAACAGTTTTTACTAATGAATATTTAAGTAGTATTCCACATTTTTAACAGTTGATAGATGGAAACAGAATCAAACAAGATGGTCACATTAATTCCAAGCTTGTTAAGAATAAATAGGAAAGTTTAAAGAACGATAAGGATCCTGGGCCAGATCATATTTCAACAGGGGTTTTGAAGGAGGTTAAAAATTGATATGTGAGCCACTTACTACTATTTTATGTCAGTCCTTGAATAG